CCTCTGTTTGGCTGTCAGCCTCTCTGCTCTGGATTTGCATTTCCTGATGCTTTCTGACTAACCCAAAGATTATTTTTTTTATGAGTGCATGTTCCTGGTAGAGACCCTGAGTTTCTCCTGGTTAACCCTGAAGCCATCCTTACAGGCAGGTTCATAAAAGCAACTAAAAGCAGAAGGGTGGTTCCAGGAGCCTAGACCAGCAGACCAGAGACCCATGTGAAGTTCTCAAGTCAACCACAGCCCCTGGGGTTCCTCTCACAACACTTTGAGAGATTTAAACCAGTTTGTGTGAATTTAGGACTCTTGATGTCTCATGAGGAGCCCTGAGCACACATGTCCCAGTGCCTCACTAATGCCCAAAAGCTGCTTAATTAGTGGTTTGATGTGGGATTGTGGCCTTCCCTACCTGCCAGCTCCTTCTATATAATCAGAGAGGATAGGATGGATTGTGGGAACTGGTGGGATACTCCCAGGAGCTGGGGGAGCTGTCTGGAGCAGGAGCAGTGCAGGACACACACACACACACCACGGTGCCTGTTCTCCCTTTGCTCTACTGTGAGTCCAAGCAGCCCAAGCTTTACAGCACAGCCCATCAAACAGCTTTCTCCAGCATGACATTCCTGTAGGAAAACACCCAGCAGCCCTAACAGACAGCTTTTGTGGGCCTGGGAAGTCTAAGAGATAACATCGTGTGGTGGCCAGCTCATGTTTCTTCCTGACGCTTTATGTTACTGCCAAGGCTGCTGCCAATCCAGCATTTCTGCCTGGCCCATCCCCCTGGCACGGGATACACACACAGACAGCAGGGTTACATTGGACCCCTCACCCCAGGCAGGATCCCAGGGAGCATTTCCATCCCAGGGATCTCCCCAGTGCCCAAGCCCCATTGGTGCAGATTCTCCCTTCAGCATGGCTGATGGGGAATTCAGAAGTCCTGTTGCCCCAGGCAGATTTTGGTGGGTTGATTGATGAAAACACAGGCAAGGGTTAGAACATGCTTGGAAAAAATTGCTATTACTCCTAGGTCACTTAGCTTAAGATTTTTGGGGGTTTTGCCATGTTTTTCTATGGTTCCAGCAAAAACCATTCTGTTCTGACCAGCATAAATCCTTGCTGCTGCAATCACATCCTAATATTCTCTGATGCCAATAAACCCAGTCTCAGTCTTAAAGATCTTAGACCCATGAAGAGAAAAACCCACAAACACCAGATGCTGCTGTTATTAACAGTGATGACAATAATAACAATAATAACAATAATAAAAATAATAATAATAATAGCCCTAAAAACCCCACACTGAAGTATTTCACATTTGCACATTTGCAAAGGAATCCAGAATTTTTCATGTCTTTTCCATGCCCTATAAGAAGTCTGACCACAGCAGATAAGGGAGAACTATACCTAATAAAAATAAAGTAAAACAATAGCAGAGATCAGCCCAGAGAGGAGAAAGAGGTATTGCTCTTTCCCTTCACAAAGTGCTTCTCCACCCTTGGACAAGAGGGATCAATGTCACAGCTCCCTCTTCAAAGAGACTCAGAGAAAAGCCAAAACAATGCATGGCCAGCTTCCATTTGCTATAAAAGTACAGAAATGTGGCGCAGACAATGCCAGGCTCCTGTCACGGCTCCGTGTGTCTTTGGGAGGATATTTGACCTCCAAGGATAAGACTGGCCGGAAAGTCAGGGAGTGGGATTTCCTGTGCTTTAAAGTACAACATGTCTTCACCCACCTTGATGGCCTTCAGCACTGATTTGGGCTGGCCTCCCTAAGTCCCTCTGGGACCTCCTGGCCTGGGCCAGATCAAGGTGCCAGGATTTAGCCATGCAGTTTAGCTGTAGTTGCTCCAGTGGCAGTGGACTGAATTTGAGCCTGGCTTAGCTCCTGGAGTCCGTATCTCATTCCATACCATGCTCATGTGCAAGGCTCAGCTGCCTTGCTTGGTGACCCAAGCAGAGACTCTGCCCTGCACCAGCAAAAGGGTGGGTGATGGTCTTGAAATTGGCTTTGATTAGGCTGAGTCAAAGGTGACATCTGCACAGCCACACATTGCATGGTGACACTTGCGTCTCACCTCCCTTCCTACGCTCCTCCTGCTGGGGAAGGAGGAGGCAGCAGCCACACCTGCTGGGAGATAAGGGGGAGATCAGAACCCTCTGATCTGGGCAGGGAGAAGACAACATCTGGCTGAGGCTGCAGACTGTGGGAGCTCTTAATGATGCTCCCAAGGGGAGCGAGAACCTAGGGAAGGCCAGCCCACAGCTTCATCTCTTGTGTCTTGCTTCTGTCCACATTTCAGGTGAAGTGCTCTTAGCCCTCCTTCACCTTTCACAAGCCCAGTTGCCTCTTGATTTAGCAGATTCATTAGAAAGTCTCCAACCCCTTAGGAATGTGCCCTTCCCCCTTGCAGTCTTCCAGTTCAGATTCAATTAATATCCGGCAATTAACTCTGAATTAAAAGCTTTGGCATGAGGTTCCATCCTGGTTTCACTTGGCCAGCACCACACCACGCCTTCGCTGTGACCAACACAAGGCTGAGCATGGCCACAGCCTGAACGCAGCAGGGAGAGCTGAGCAAAGGGCAAATAGGAAAATAGCAGGAATAAACAAAGAAAAGGGAGCCCAGCATGATAAGGACCTGCTGATTTGGCAGGTGTGTGCACTGCTTCCAGTTTCATGGCCTCTTTGGGACACAGGCACCTTGGAAGAGAGGACAGCCTTCCAGGTTAGCTTATCATTTGGGAACACCAGCTGATCCCATCGGGACTTTATTAACCACCATGAGATGAAGAATTCAGGGCTGGTCCTGCTTCACCCACAAAGCCAGACTCCTCTGCCACTGCCATGGAGTCTGCACCTCTGGCAGCCACCCTGGGTTGCCCCAGATGGGCTCCTCAAAGAGCAAATCCCAGAGGTTTAATTTTTGGACACAGCATAGGAAGGAGAAATAAAAACCAGGGTGACCTCAGGTGGATCCCTGGTTCCTCCTGGTTCTTCACAGCTGGGGCTGGAACAGGTCTGAGCTCCATGGGCCAAACCTGGTGACACATTCCTGCTGGAGTAACCTGGATTTCAGTACATTAGGACATGGCCCTGGGGCAGTAAGAAAAAGGGAGGCAGAAATATGACACTAATATGCAGAAACACTCCCAGCTATCATCAGCTGTGGGACTCAAGTGATTGGGTGGTGCAGAATAAACAGAACAGAGCAGGGGTTTTAAGAGACCAAGTTCTCTTTCCCAGGTATCTTATGCTAATGCACAAAGAGATCTAGGAGATAGGAACAGTTTGAGGAATGTAAAAGGAAACCAGCAGATAGCTATTAAGAGAGGAAAAATTCACAGGTATCCAAGCTTGGGCACAGGGGTAGGTTTTATTACACTCAGAGGGGTTGGCAGACCACCAGGTTCCTATTCTAATGTGGTTATGAATTTATACCTCTTATAGTTGTGCACAGGGATTTCAATATCAACCACAAGAGAGACAAAAAAGGGGGAATTTAACACACAAGCTACTAAAACGCACTTGAGAGTCCTTTCTAGCAGTGTCTCCAAGCTGAGTGTGTTACAGTGACAGAAAAAGCTGAAAGTTGTAAGGCTGAGCCCAAAACATGCTGGGGTTCTCCATGCAGTCTCTGTACAGCCAAGTACTTCACCAGCATCCCCATAAATGCATCCCTCTGACATCCCACTGACAGTTCTGATAAGATCAGTGAGAAAACTCTCTCTGCCCTCACCTCAGGGTGAAACACACAGAGCAAAATACTACAAGTGTTCCAACATGAGGAATAAATACGGATACGTAAGGAATCTAGGGCAGCTCTGCTGATGATACAACAAGCCCTGCAGCAGATAATCAGCCTCCAGAGGGGAAATCCCAGGTGTCAGGGATGACTCCAAAGTATTCCCTGCGGATTACACACACACTTTAGCCTAGATTCAGTGCAAACCCTTGAAGGAAGCTCCACTGCCTGCCCACGGCTGTCATGGCAGCCCTTGGCACATGCCAAGCACACTCAGCAGTTCCCTTGCAGGAAATCCCACCGAGGGCACTGAGGAATTTTTTCCTTTAGGCCAGCAACAAATATTTCAAAGCCAAACCTTTGAATTCTGACAACCTTACCATGAGGTAAGCGGGGTCTGACCTAGGCACAGAAGTGCCCCTGAACTTTTCAAAAGAGACTTAAAAAAATTTTAGGACTTTGCCTTGGCTTCTCTTTAGCTCACACATGCAGCAGAGGTGAAGTGCTCAGATACCAAAACAAATAATTCCCCAAGATCTTATTATATCTTGTTTTCAGGATTTGTCTCTCTTCCCTTGCAATTCTGCTGTCAGAACAGTGTCTGGATCTCTCTCACATCTTCTCCCACAATCTAATTCTCACTGGAAAGAGGGGGAAAATAATGTGTGCTGATCCTGTCTTCCTTTCACTAACCACTCACCGCAGTACATTTTCCTTCATCCCTGAGCTGCCAGTGGAGCAGCATTCAGTTATCCCATTTTTCTTTATGTGAATAATCCCCTTGTAAAGATACTTTAACAGCTGGTGTAGAGCTTAAAATTACCCCATAACAAAAGCTAATGGCACTCTAGGCATGACAAATGACTTGGGACACACAGCCATGAACACATGGGCACAGGCGTCTGGGACAGACCAGAGGCAAAGGCCACCTCAGTCCCTGTTTAACTTTAGGCAGGACAGTGCTGCTGGAAAAAGATGTGCCGGAACGTCACAAAGTTGGGGTGTGCCTGGAATGGAAGGGCAGAGGGAGAGGTGGAAATAGGTTTTGAAAAAACATCCTGGGATGTGTCACCTTCAGCCTAGGTCAGAGCAGTGAGAGGTGACTGAGAACAGGGAGGAAACACCCTTTTACTCACCTGACTGCTTCATCTGCTTGGAGACCCCAGCTTGGAGGCAGGGAGGGCAGGATGCACATGGAAAAATCACCTGAGAGCCTGTTCTATTACCACTGACCCTGTCTCTTGTGCTTCTGCTGCAGCTGCCTGGCCTGTGAAGCAACATGAGTCACAAGGGATCCCTCAACAGCAACCCTGGCTCAACAAAGTAAGGATCTTCCTGCACCACTCCTTCCTACTGTTCATGGGATACTCCAAGCAGTCCCACTCATCCCCAAAGTCCCTGGTGTTTGTTTCACCCCTCCTGGGCACTTCATAAGCTGGCACTGCCTCACACATCACCTGCCCCGCGCAATGGGGTTTGATAATGGCACATTAGGTGGAGAGAGCAGAGGAATACCAGGAGCCTCTCCACCTGCAGCTTCGGGCTACAGCAGCCCATGGCAACCTCCCAGTGCAGCCAGGGCCACCAGCTCTCTCCCTCCTTCCTGCACTGGATATGAGCACCTGAACCATGGCCTGCCCTCAGGGGGACACGGTGACAGAGCACAAAGCAGCCCCTGGGCACCCATGGGCTCACTGCTCCATGCAGGACAGCCCGACCACAGTGCCTCAGATCCCACTTGGATCCTCCTCTGCCAAAGAAAACTCAGTTATCTCCTGGGTGCTCATTCCTACCCACTACCCAGGCATGGGGGATAGCCCCACATGTGGTGCTTAGAGACTTGACGCCCCAACATTTAACTGTTTACACACAATTCCACCCTCCCTTACATGGGATATGTTTTATATCTGAGCACCTGCCTTCAAGGGGTTTATCTCCAACATGTCCACTGAGAAGGGATCATCACCTTGGCTCTTGCACTGCCTCAGGTTCAGGTGGACTCAGGGATGACATGGAGGGGGTCTCCTTGTAACTCCCACCGATGGCACACTGGGAGCTGCTGTCCTTAACCCAGCCCCTCTGGAGTGCTGTCCTTCCAGGGGACATTGTGAAGGTAACTCTAGTGGGGACAGGCCTGGCTGGGCTGCTCCGTGTCCTGTTTCCACTGCTGGGTTCAGTGACATGTGCCTGTGGTGTGGATAACGGGTAGGGTTGTACAGGAGCCGCCGGCACGGCCCACAAGGAAATTCCTTGCAAGGAAGGGAAGGGCTGGTCTCTCTGGGCAACTGCAGAGATGCTGTGTGAAAACTGATGTTAAAAATATTTGGGAGCTCATGGTTGATTTGCACCTTCTTTGTTTTTCAGTGGCAGCATGGGCAAAGCCGAGGGAGCCTCCAAGCTGAGTGCAAAGGACCTGTACGGTGAGTCGTGCCCGCAAACATGTTCAAAGTTTCCCATGGCAAAGGCACCTCTGGAGAGCTGCATGTGGATGTTGGGGAGCTTTAGGCTGGAACTCAATCAAAGCCACATGAATCCAGAGTTCCATATGCAACAGGCTGGCCTGACCTGGCAGCAAAAACACACTTCATATCTGTGCTGACACTTCCCATGCTGGGGACAGCTGGGATTTTGTGGGAACAGAACGTTGCTTCCCTTACCCAGATCCTCCCCAGGTCTGTTAGCAAGATCACCTGATAAAGGGCCTCACAAAAGAAAGACTGTCCTCAGCAGGTTAATGATTATCCTCTTGTAACTACTTAGTGAACCATGAAAATTCCATGCCCTTTGGCTCTTTGGAAGTGCAGGGAATGGGCAGGATGGGTGTTTGTGCACAGTCGGAGAGGCAGCTTGTTTGGGTTGAGCACATTTAGGTATCAATAACAGTTATTCCTGATCTCAGCAGATCCAAGTACCCCAGGTGAAAATGTGGCCTCTGGGGTGGGCAGAGCAAGCATAAATCATGTGAGGAATCACCTCCCTCAGTTATTTCCTGGGTAAGAAGTTAGGGGTTGTCTGGGTTGCTCAGATACCCAAAAAACACAAGCAGTTTTTTGGGTATCTGAGCCTGCCAGCTCTCCAGCCTAAGAGCTGTGGATTTACCTGGTTGATGTTTAATTGGGAAGGAACAGGCTGTGTGTGCTTTTCCTTGGAGATCTTCTATTTGATCAGAGATTTTCTTCAGCAGCTATGAACTGCCAATGTGGTTTATTTGTCCCTGGGTAGTGACTCCCTTTGCCCAAGGGTTTTGGCTGGAAGTTTATCCATGTAGAGTGGCCTGGAGAAGTGTCCAGACCAACCTCACCTGGGGAGAAGTGGGATGGCAGGGGCTGTATTTAGTGCTAAACAAAGCCATTGTTAACGTCAATTAGCTCCCAAGAAATGAAACATGAGGATAATGGCAGAGCAGAAATTTGGGCTGTTTGTGGCCTGGATGCTGCAGGGTGGGTGGGTGCCAAGCAGGGGTTTGAACTGTGTCAGTCACTTCTAGAGACAGAGGGATACATGATAAAGAAGCAAGAGCATGAGGTGTGGGAATTTTGGGTGCACACGGGGCTGCTAGTGCAGACAAATTCCTTCTGCCTCCAAGGCAGTGCACATTCCTTTGGCTGTGCACTGACACTGCTGCACATCCTGTCAGGGACAGAAGGGCTGCAGTTTCCAGGTAAACAGCCCTACAGACATGTGTAAAAATGAACCTGGGGCTCACAATGGGATTAAAGGCAAGCAGATTTGCAGGCTGGCACCCATGGGTGCAGGCAACCCAGGGCTCCAGCCACCAGAGTTCCAGAGGGGGATCTAATGGTGCCATGGCACAGGGAGCACGCCTCAATCCCGTGTCACAAAAGCCAGTGCAGGGAGAGGCTGACAGACTGCCTTGGAAACAAACACAGCTCTCAAATAAGCACTTTTCAACACAGAATTTCATCTTCCACATTTTTTTGTATGAACACACCTCAAAAACAAATTCACCAGGGTTGGGACCTCTCTGACCAAATTCCAGCAAACCTGAAATGAGGACTGTATGTCCCTGGGCCAAATCCTCAGGAGGAGTAAAGCAGCTGCCTGCTATTTCCCTGCCACTGCTGAAATGCAGAATGAGCTCTGCAGGCATTCCCTGCATAAATCAGTGCCTCTTGGCCAGCCCAGCCCCTGGCATGAGCACATCCAGAGGGATTTTGCTTGGCAGCACTTGAAACCCACCCGCTAATTCAGCAAAAGACACTCAGCACGTGTAAACCAATATTTAAATGTCTTGGTCGCTTTCCCACTCGGATCCTCCCTCCCCCAGCATTAATTTCTGCTGTGAGCTGGCACATTTGGGAGTAGAGGGCAAGCAAGAACTAAAATTCCAGCGAGAATTATGTTTCATAATGAAACAAATCACACTAAGCCGAGCTGGCCTTGATTATGTGATTACAACACTGCTGAGGGACATTTGGAGCTGACAAGACTTTTCATATTTCCATTTTCCTCCAGTGCAATCAGGCTGGACCCTCAGCCTGTGTGCACTGCCAGACCTCCAATCAGTGAGTGCAGTGACTCCCAAATTCCCAGCACATAGACATCCACTCATTTAAAGCTCGCTGGGTTATGACAGCTCCAATGCACACAGGTGTCTAAATATTATTTCTAAGTGAACAAGGACTTGGGTCTAGCTTTCTAAAGCTGCTTTTTCTACAGTAATACTGGCCTAACGTGACAAGGTTGCCAACTGTGGGTACAAAAGTCCTACCTGAGGGCCAAGGTGTCCCCAGTATCAATAGGGACTTACTGGGGATATTAAACATACCTCAGGGGAGACCCTGAAGAGGGATATTTAAAATTGTTGTGGTGAGGCTGGAACAGCAGCTTCAGGCTGTGCACAGGAAAGCACTCGGATGGTGAAGGTGGAGGTTCATTCTGGGGGGGCTCCATGGCGTAGTGTGAAGGTCCTCACAGGACACAGCCTCATCACACAGCTGTTGGTGGGTGGGGAAGGCTCTGGCGTCACACTTGGTCTGCTGAAATTACTTTGATCACCAAGTATGTTGCCTACCACCATGTATTCTTCACTGTGGTGAGCACAGAGGGATGAGGAGAGATGACCAAAGGGAATTCTGCAACAAAACTGACTTAAAGCCCGAAGATACCCTCCCCTGGCTCTGTTCCTACCAGAGTTGGATATGCTTTCCAGCTGCTTTGCCATCCTCAGTGGAGTTTCCTGGCTCTCGTGAGAGCAGGACACTCATCCTTTCCTCCTCCCTTAGTAAAACAGCACCACCTTCGCCCAGCTCCACATTCTGGAGGAGTCTGTGGCTGCAGGGAGCAGTCCCACCTCAGCTGGCAGTAGGGAATGGCTGGCCCCTCTCAGGTTGCCACCTCTCTCCCCACACAGCCACCAGCTGAATAAATGTTAATGCACACCATAAATAAATTAGGCCGCTTCTCTGCTTACGGGCAGGCGTCTGTTCTGAGCCCAGATGAAAGCCTGTGGGGGGAAACCAGGCTCCAGCAGAGCCCATGGGAAGGACTGGCAGGAAGTATTTCTGCACAGCACTTCCCACAGCAGGAAAGCTGCTGCCACCCCTTTCTGAGGTGACTCCCGGTGGGCTTCTGCAGGTGCTCCCCTCAGCTGCTTCCAGAGCTGTCAAACAGCGCTGGCTGGCTTTCCTGATGGATTAGGCAGCGTAGCAGGAGAAGTTCATGGCAGTTTGATGATTGCAGTGATTTCTCATAGGGCTGGGGGGAGGAGAAGCTCATTTCTGTTTGGTTGCTGTCTGTCCCTGCGGTGCTCAGCTCCTTCCAGCCCCCCAGGCCAAGCCTGTGAGACCCAGCAAGCTGGTTCCAGCCTGCCCACCCATCCTCGATGCACTCATTTCTGGGAAAGAACCAGACTTGATTTGGCACAGGGCTGGAAAAAGGGTTTTGGAGCAGTGAGTTAGGCTGGAGAAGCGCAGTGCTGACGCCGATCGCTTGACACTGCACACCCGTAACCCAAGCCAGGCTGCGGCGCCGTAACAGGACACGAGGCACTATCACAAAGAGAAGAGCCACTTCCTGCCCAGTGTGGCCCTGCACAGGGATCATCTCCCTGGGGAGCCACGGGCAGAGAGGCTCCTCCACTGGTGCCAGCATCACCCCTGAGCCACAGAAAGCTGCTTGGTGCTGGCCAGGCAGAACACATCAATGGAGCAGAAATAACTTACCTTTAATGGTCATGAACCAACTCCTGGGGGTCTCACAGATCTCCTTGTATCCCAACAGGACCTCCAGCCCCAGTAACATGGAGAGGTCTCTGAGATGAGACCCTGCAGCCCTGAGCACAGTGCTCAGACTGTAATTCCCTGCTGCTGGCTCTCCCACCCCCTGGCCAAACCATGAGGTTGTTCACAATTCCAGCTGGAGGCCACATGGCTGTCACATCGTTATTGACAGCAGCACAGAGGGACTGTTCCTTCCCCACAACCTTTAGGAGAGGATTTTTGCAGGATTTAACACACACTGGTATTGTCTGCAAGAGACAACTCTGGCAGGAGCAGTGGCCTGCCAAGCCTGCTCAGCCACACTGATGAGTCAATATGACCACGTCCATACCTAAATCCACAGGGATTTGGGCAACATCGGAACAGTGCCACTCACTGTCATGTCTTTAAAGATTTCATCATACTGGAGAAAAAGCCTGAGATTCAGCAGAGATCCAGTCTTCTTGCCCAGGTCATTAATTCCTCCTGTCCCTTGCTGCCAGCCCTGAATAACTCCCTTGTCCTTCCCCCTGCTCCCTCGGTGCTATTCCAGCTCCCTTCTTCACATCCTCTTTCCCACCCGAGATTCCAGCTTCAGATTACCTTGCTCCCCTTTGACACTGTGTGTGTGGGTGACCCTTCTATTCAATGCCTTGGACACTTAATACACCATCTGGAAACAGGGCTGGAAGAAAAACTGGAAGCCAACAATCCTGCAGATCAAGCCCCAGTGGTGGGTGAGACAGGAAACACATTGGCTCAGTTCAGCCATGACTGGAGCTACTGGGAAGAGCAGACTGCTCCAAGTGCTGCTGGCCAGGAGTTTGGGATGGCAGTTAGTGACAGGGATGCTGTGAAGAGGGATCTCCCACCTCTGATGCTGTTCAGCATCTCCAGTGACCGTCTTTCTTTGCCACCTTGAAACTGCTGAGCACAAGTTCTCTCCTTGCATGGACTAACTGCTTAGAGCTCACACAGAGGAACCTTTTCCTAAATGGAAATGAGGTTTTAGATATTCCCAAGTAGCTTAGGAACTAAAGTTGTGGTAGTTCATAAAAAAAGAATGGCCAAAAAAAGGAGGAACTTTTCATTATGAATTTTTTTCAAGATTCAAAGAAAGTGAATTAATTAAATCAAGATTCCCCCAAGCTTACTATGTTCTGACATTCAAAAAATTACCAGCTACATTACCAGCTACA